CGAGTCTTGTCTGGCACAACCCCTTCTTCAGTGCTCCTGTTCTGCCTGCCTAGAATATGAGGCCCCAAGGTACACCAGCTTTCCTCTGCTCAGAGGCAGTTTGCTGAGAATGGAGGCGGCACGCTTAAGCTGGTGGAGCAGAGTGGGCAGCCTGAGTCCCTGGTGATGGTGTTGAGCCACTAGACCACCCTTCTCTAGGTGCTTGTTATAAGAAACAACTCCTGTTTATGTTGGACTTTTGTTTTTTGGTTTATTTGTTCCCTTCATGTAAAAAAAGAGAGAGAGACAAAAAGAGAGACTGAGCACTCCAACAGAGTCTTCACACCACGATCCACCTCCAGCCCCAGCCAACCTGGGTCACAGGCACGTGCATGACCTGTGTACTCAGGGAGGGCCCAAGATGCGTACTCAGGACTTTTCAGGTGTGGCTCCACTTACATTAACAGTGTGCCACCAGCTGGTCCCTGTGATCCAACCCATGCGTGTAACAGATTTTTAAAGCTCTGTATTGGAGCTGCAGGAAGTACAAAGCAAACAGAAAAGTATTATTCAGACATGGCCATTTGCAGCCATAGGGGTGGCCACAGGCCCCAGCTGCCTGCCAGTGAGAATTATTAGACCACCGTCTCCATTTCCGTCCCCCATGCGTTCCCCAGTGAGTGAGGTGCCTCTGATTAGGTCACCAGATGAGGGCGTTGTGGCCTTTCGGGCTGCTGTGCTCTTGCAGCCCCTTGCCTTGGACGCTGAGAAATTAGAGCCGGAGAAAGCGCACAAGTAGACTGTGTGACTCTCCCTGTTAGCCAGCCCTCTGCAGTTCTGGTTTTGCAGAAACGACTAAGTCTCAGAACCCCAGCTTCTCTGTAAGACCTGGCCCTGCAAGTTGCTGGGAGACAATGTGAGTGGAGACAATGGCCACGGGAGCATTTAATGGTAGCGACATTCAAAAAATCAAGAACTTCATTTCTTATGTAACACCTCTGATTAATGTAAAGAACCCTGGCTGTGAGTCTCAAGTTATTTTGAGCAAATATCTGATTATACGTAGTTCTGTTTTTTTATCTTTCTTTCCTTTGTGAGCATATGATTGTGAATAGTCCTCGGCTTGTGGGAAAGTTTTTGAAAATGAGTTTTGCATGCAAGGAGCAAGCAGAAGAGTGAAGAGTTCATGACGTTATCGACGGGTCCATAAGTGTGGCCCAACACTGTTTTCCCAGGGTGTACGTGCCATCATGAATTTACTGATTGATTGCCTAATTACCTTAAATTACCACAAGATGTTTACAGATCCATGCTCTCCCTCACTTGCCATATTTTCTTGTCAAAGTAAAAGAAAGAGAGCGAGAAATGAGCTTTCTGTGGTTCTAATGAATATTAGTCATGAAAGGAAGAGCACCAAGAAAATTATTGATGACAAATTAAGACCATGCCCAGACTAAGAATTCTCTTTATCACATTTATTATTTATTAAAACAAAATCTTGGTAGTTTTACACCCTGTTGGTTAGACTGTGACCATACTATCTGGTATTTGGTCAGCTGCAGTGGCATAGCAGTAACGCGACACTCTGTGATGCTGAGGCCGTATAGGAAGGTTCCAGTTACATCTCCAGGTCTCCCTGTACAGAGCAGGTGCACACACAAGTGCCTTTGATTCTGGCTGGCTGAGGCTGGGGGTGGATCGCACCCTGCTGGGAGTGTCCATCTCCCATGCATCCCTTTCTGTCTCTCTCTCTCTCTCTCTCATGGTAGGAATAAAGAAACTTTAAAAAGTTATCAAATTTGTGAATGCCACAGTTCCACAACAGGTTGAGGAAAGGTGCTTCTTAAAACGTAATGTGCTCTAATTCGGGTCTCTGGGCTTCTCCCTGTACACTCATGAAAGGCAGCATCATGGCCCTATAGCTCTCCACAACCTGATCCTGAAATCTGTAGGTGTCAGGTTACAAGGAAAAGAAAACAAAAAAAAAACTTTTATATGTAATGATGTTAAGGACCTTGAGATGGGGAGGGTCTGACCCAATGTGGTCCCAAGGGTCCTCACGAGTGAAAGGGGAGACTCAGTGTCAGGGTGACCCAGTGTAAGGGAGATCCGCCCATTGCTTGGGTTCAACACAGGGAAAAGGGCTGTGAGCCAAGGAATGCAGGTGGCCTCAAGGAGCCGGAGAAAGCAGCTCAAGGAGGAATGCAGGCCTGCTGGCGCTGTGGTTTAAGCCCTCATGACCCATGCAGACTTCTGCTCTCCAGAACTGTAAAGTAATACATCTGCATTGTTTTTATTTATTGTTGTGTTTTGTTTTCTGTTATAGGATATGCACGCTCACTGGAGAGAGATTACAGAGAGAGAGAGAGAAAGAGAGAATTTACCCCCAGGAGAGATGGCCACACCACAGTCCCTTTTCCTCCATTCTCCTCCCTGGGTTCTAGGCACACATGCACATGCACGTGGAGTATTTTCCAACCCACCAGGTCCAGGACTCAAACCATACACTTGATCATGTGGGATCCAGCCACCTTAACCACCATGCAACCTAGCTGGTGCACATTTACACTGTTTTAAACTACTGGTTTGTGGCAATTTGTTATAGCAGCCACTGGAAAATC